CTGAGCAAAATTTCATTTGTGCCTCTCAGTTCAGCTCGTAGCTCTCGTGTGCGCAGAGTTTACGTAAGGTTTTTTTTATTCTAGGCGTTAAGGGAATTATCTGTCGTGTTTGATTATAATTCTTTCCTCGAATGAAAAATACCTTACCGTGTGCGCACTCGAAAGCTCTTAGATTTCAACTTTGAACTGGGGCGCATGCGCTAGCACGTGATCAAACAATACTAGCTGGGCCCATCGGTAAATGCTAGTTTGTATCTGAAGCAATTATCGAAGACAAGTTGGTGGACTTATTGTAATAGAGGCAATATATTTTAATTGTAAATATTATTTATTTTAGCCAGATATTATTTTTACTAACATACTGTAATCACTTTTCAATTTCAGTTCAACTGAGTGAACTCTTCCTTTCTTCACTCACTCATGCTTATTTCTTCTCATCTTTTTCTTTCTCTCCATTGGTCTGTCCTTAGTTTCACCTTTGTGTATATTGGTTACCTCTGGATTGTGACTATTTCCTATAGTTTTGTTTTCATTAATTTTATATATTTCAAAGTGGAAGGTGTTTCAACTCCCTTATTGAAATATAGAAAGATCCTTCAATGATTTAAATTTGTATTTTTCATTTCAATTTGGATACCATTGTGGCTAAGGATTTATTAGTATATTTGACTAGACCTCAATTGTTGAATTCAAGCCTTTAGCTTGATTTACTCCTTAAACCCCTTTTTGCTTAGGTTAGTCTTTTTGCATTTTTGTATATAATTGTATTATATTTTGTTTTAAGACTGTTTGTATAGTTAGTATTTCTAGTTATTACTTTAATAACAAGATCAAGAAAAATAGTTGTATTATAGGGTTTATATTTAGTTATTATTGTAGTAATTAATATTCTTCTTTTGAATATTTTTGTTAAGCAATAAAGTTTTATCAACCCATTTGGATGTGTGGTTAATTAGCCTACCCTAATTCCTGACCACCCATTTCATTGGCGCCCAACGTGATTGTACCTACAGTTCCTGTTTCCTGAAAAAACCCGTGAGTGAATATAATAGTGCACTAACATTTGCGATGTTGCTGCAGCAATAAGTGATATTTGGATTCGTTCATGCATTTTTTTGTAAACTACTGTGAGTAACTTTCTATTGTGTTTTCATCTGGATTATTTAAAAATAAAAAAAAAAGATTTTGTCATTTTTTTTTTATTTTTTTATTTTTTTTTTATTTGTTATATGCTCATCAAGGTTATTATTTGTATATATTATATAAATTATAATGTATTTGGCTAAATTATGGAATTTCTTTTTCTATTTTTCTATTTTCAAGTTTTCATAATTTAAATTATCTAATCGAGTTAATTATCTTAAGTAAGCAACTTTTTACTTAAGTGCTAAAATTTAATTTATTAAAGGTATTAATTACCTCCCTTTAATTTTTGGCCATCTTGAATTTCAAACTATAAATCAGAAACTCCTTAAGTTTGTACTTATAAGTTTCGCAGCTTTATTTTTTTCTGCCTC